CAGCAAAGTCAACAAGCTCAGCGACTAGAGCAGACGCAGCAGAGGACTCAAAGGTAGGGTCAGTGACAACAGTGGCGAGGAAACGCGTAACAGTAGGACTGGCAGCACGAAGGGAGTCAGACTCCGGGTCCGGACCGTCAGGAAGAGAGGATGCAGGAGGAGATGGCAGAGGGACACGCTGTGGAGCAGTGGAAGGACGCAGAGTCATATAGTGAGTGCCAAGTACAGGAGGAGGACGCTGACGCGGAGCACGACGACCAGCGCGGACAGCGCGGACAGACGACTCTGGACGAGACTCAGGCGACGCAGGACGAGACTCAGGCGACGCAGGACGAGACTCAGGCTCACGACGCTCCGTAAGACCTCTAGTCGGTCTAGCGTAAGGAGAAGGACCAGGCAGCGGAGAGGCAAGCGGTAACTGTGACTGCGACTGGACAGGCGGTGGACTCAGTAGGGGAGGAGTAGGACCAGTGGAGGGCGGGAGGCCAAGAACCTGCTGAAGGAGCGGAACGTAGTACGGCCGCGGCCGCGCAGCACCTCCTGAACCAGCAGCTCCAGCACCAGCAGTACCTCCAGTAGCTCCAGCACCAGCAGCACCTCCAGCAGCACCACCAGCAGCTCCTGCACCAGCAGCAGCTCCAGCTCCAAGGTCCGCAGCACCAGCAGCAGCTCCAACTCCAGGGTCCGCGGCACCAGCAGCAGCTCCAGCTCCAGGGTCCGCGGCACCAGCAGCAGCTCCAGTACCTCCAGTACCTCCAGCTCCAACCCCCGCAGCAGCTCCAGTCCCAGCAGCTCCAGTACCTCCAGTACGAGCACCTCCAGAACTAGCGGCTCCAGCAGCTCCAGCACCAGCAGTACCTCCAGTAGCTCCAGCACCAGCAGCACCTCCAGCAGTGCCAGCACCAGCAGCACCTCCAGTAGCTCCAGCACCAGCAGCACCTCCAGCAGCACCACCAGCAGCACCAGCTCCAAGGTCCGCAGCACCAGCAGTGGCTCCAGCTCCAGGGGCCTCAGCACCAGCAGCAGCTCCAACTCCAGGGTCCTCAGCACCAGCAGCAGCTCCAACGCCAGGGTCCGCGGCACCAGCAGCGCCACTCCGGAGACTGCAGCGCCGAGCGTACCACTCTCGGAGCCGCTGGGGAGAGGGCGGCTCCCGCCTAGGTGGGGAACCACGAGTACCAGCTCCAGCAGCGCCCCTCCTGAGGCTGCAGTACCGTGAGTACCACTCACGCAGCTGCTGTGAAGAGGGAGCGCCTCCAGGCGCCGCACGGTCAGTCGCAACACCCCCAGGCTCAGTACCCTCAGACGTAGCACTCTCAGGCTCAGCACCCCCAGACTCAGCACCCTCAGGCTCAGCACCACCAGGCTCCGCACCCGCAGGCTCAGCACCCCCAGGCTCCGCACGCTCAGGCTCAGCACCCCTAGGCTCCGCACGCTCAGGCTCAGCACCCCTAGCAGGACGAGAGTCGACAGCTACCTCGACATGTCAGAGGTCCACTGGTGATCCCCGATTGATCCTAGGGAAGGGTTACAGGCTCGTTGTCCTGGGGGGTGATGGGCGCACTGACCCGCTACTTAACAAGCCCTTTTATCCCAGTGGTCTAGTGACTGGGATTCTGACATGGTATCAGAGCGAAGGTCTCGGGTTCGAAGGGCGCGAGGGCGCTCAAGGGCGCGAGTAGGCCGGCGCTCGAGGGCGCGGGTAGGCAGGCGCTCGAGGGCGCGGGTAGGCCGGCGCTCGAGGGCGCGGGTAGGCAGGCGGGCGGCGCACGGGCCTGCACGGGGCTAGTGGGCAGCGCGCAACTAGCAAAAGGGCGCACGAGGGCGCAGGCAGGAAGCGCACGAGGGCGCACAGGTAGTAGGCAGTAGTAGCAGTGGTGGGCCCTAACAGTAGTCGGTCCTAGGTGACTAACCTAGGCTCGTGATACCATGTCAGAATCAGAGAGGAATGAATTGAACTAACAGCATTGGGAGTACAAGTAGGAAAACCTAGAATGTTGTACCCCCTAAGGCTAAACCCACTATAGCCTACAGAATAGAAACATATACAATGTTTGACAAATGCGTGATAGTTTACCTCGACGACATCCTAGTCTACAGCAGGGATAAGCAGCAGCACTTAGCAGATCTGGAAGCAGTTTTTAAGGTTTTAGACGAGCATCGCCTACTGACCAAGGGTTCCAAGTGCGAGTTCTTCCAGGATAGGTTAGAATTTTTGGGGCACGTCATTTCGGAGGCTGGGGTTGAAATCGACCCCAAGAAGCTGGACACGGTAAAAGCGTGGCACCCCCCGACGAACATCACGGAGCTGCAGAGTTTTTTAGGGTTCTTTAATTATGTACGTCGGTTCGTCCCCGACATGGCACGGTTGACTGCCCCGCTGACGGATTTACTGAGGAAGGGGGTCACTTTTACGTGGGGGGAGAAAGAGCATGCTGCCTTCTCTGCCCTGAAAATTGTTCTCTGTTCACCGCCCGTACTGCGCATCGCTGACCCACACTGCCCCTTCGAAGTCGTAACCGACGCAAGCGACATCGCCATTGGAGCCGTACTGCTACAGGATTTCGGCAACGGCCTACAGCCCATCGCCTACGAGTCACGAAAGTTGCATCCGCCCGAGAAAAACTACCCGATACACGACCGCGAAATGCTCGCAATCGTGCATGCGTTCAAGGTCTGGCGCTGTTACTTGACCGGCGCAGACGTGACAGTACGGACAGACCACCGATCCCTACAGTACCTCCGCGCACAGCCCCACTTCAACCCACGACAGATCCGCTGGCTCGATTTCCTCGAGTCAAATTTCCACTACACGGTCACCTACAAAAAGGGAGCATCCAACATCGCTGACGCACTGACCCGCCCCACTGCCCAAATCCACGCGATACTACTCGCCCAGACCAGCCCGCTACTGACAGGACTATTTACCCACGGGTACCAAACGGACCCATTCTTCACAGGAGGAAATTCGCAGCAGTTCGCAGCAGCCAAGGGAGTCTATTACGTAAAAGCCGGGACCGACCGCATCTGGGTACCAGGATACACACTGCTACGGGAATTACTGTTACAGGAGGCACACGACGGAGTTACCTCGGGACATTTCGGGGTAGAGAAAACACGGCAGCAGCTGCAGCGGTATTACTATTGGCCCGAGATGCTGACCGACGTGCAACGACACGTGGCATTGTGTCCCACCTGCCAGCTCATGAAGTCATCACGACAACGACCGGCAGGACAGTTGCAGCCGATACCACCCCCAGAGCGTGCTTGGCAGCAGGTGACGATGGACTTCGTCACGGGGTTACCGGCTGGAGCAAGTGGGAACGACGCGATCTTGGTCGTCGTCGATCGGCTGACGAAGATGGCACATTTCGCAGCATGCAAGAAATCAATCACAGCCGAAGAAACAGCTCGCCTCTTCATCGCCACCATCGTTCGATTACACGGGATACCAGCAGCGATCATCAGCGACCGCGACACGAAATTCACCAACAACTTCTGGCGGAACCTATGGCAGCAGTTCGGCACGCGACAGCAGTTCAGTTCATCATACCACCCCGAAACCGACGGACAGACAGAACGGACAAATCAGACCATGGAACAGCTCATCCGGGCCACGTGCGATGACCCGACCACGTGGGAACAGCAACTGCCACTCATCGAATTCGCGTACAACAACTCGCCATCCGCCACGACCCAACAGTCACCGTTTTACCTGAACTACGGACAAGACCCCACAGTACCCATGACCCCGAATCCCGACAACCCAGTCCCACGCGCGCAACAATTCGCAGAAATACTGCAAGCAGCACGGACCCGAGCAGCAGAAGCAATAAAAAAATCAAACATCATCGCTAAACGCAACGCTGACCGCCACCGCCGACCTGTCACTTACCAGCCAGACGACCTAGTTTTACTCGACACTCAAAACCTCCGCCTGCCCATCACCCCAAAACTCCGGCCCCGATATTGCGGGCCATTTCGCATCAGCCACATGATCACACCCGTCATCGCCCACCTCCTCCTCCCTGCTGACTGGTACGTCAGCCCGTCATTCCACGTCAGCCTGCTTCGCCCATACGTGCCATCCACCAGCCAACTGCCTCGCAACCGCCCCGCCAGCATGACACGACCGCCGACTGAGCCAATCATCACGCCTGAGAAAATACTGAGCCACCGAGTACGTGATCCACGGGGAGCCCGCAGAATCGAATTCCTGATCCGCTAACTGGAAAGACCGCACGCCCACCGAAGACAACTGGGTCCCCTTGGATAGAATTGAGAATCACCCTGTCCTCACTGAGTATCTGCGCAGCCGAAACTTCCGAGATGTACACGCACTCTCATAAGAGGGGCCTCCTTGGGGAGGGGGGTAGTGTAAGGAAAATTCATTTTCCTTACTTCGCATCCCTGCGTACCGCGTGCATAACCGTTCCCGCCATCAGCACCCATCCATGAACGTTACCCGTTCACGACACTCGCTTCGACACCATTCCCGCCACTGTTCACGACGCGACCCAACCTCACGGCTCGGTTGGTAACCCGCGCTCCGGACCTCCGCCTCGGCATTCCCAACCTCGACGCTAGGCCCGTCGCGCACCCGTTTTCCACACATTACCGTTACCACTGTAGTTTCGCTATATATTCTTCGCTCATGCCTTCGCTCATTTGCTACTCTTGCTTCGATAGTGCAATTCTCGCTCGTTCACTCAATTGCACTCGTAACAAGTAACAGCTGGATGGACACATACATCAAGACCCTAATCCCATCAACTACTCACTGCACTATCTATATCGAAGATGTGACGACTACTTGCAAATAAAGGTTGGCCCACATAACTATACTACTACCTAATATTACACATGACTTCACTACTGCATTTGTACCTCCTTTGACAGCACAACACAATAATCGTTACACTGCCAAACGACGAGACAACCCCCCCCCCCCCCCCCCCTCCTTACAATCATGGCACTCAGAAACAGCACCACGCCATCCATCACTCAACCAGCTGTTTCTCAACAATCGCACCGTCGCCATCTGGTCTGGCACACTGCAGCAGCAGGGCCTGGCCCTCAACCCTCTGCGCCTCCAACTGCAAGCGCAGCGCTTCCCACCGTGTGCGCTTCACAGTCTGTGCATTCGCTCGCACCTGAGCCTGCAGCTCTGCAAGCCGCTCCTCCTCCTGAGACAGCGACGCCAAGGCCGCCAGATTGCCCAGGCGTTTCTCCTTCTGCTTGGCTCGCTGCTCTTTGATAGCGAACTGGAGGACGCCTTTGTGACTTCTGATTATCCCCTGCCAATGGTGATTTTTAGAGAGCGCATTGCAGGGAGTGCGGTCGATATGGTAAAGGAAGTACAGTGAAGCATTACGATGTGACAGTGTGCATTGGCATTCATGCGCACGGAGACAACAGATAAAGCAGCACAATCCATTTTGACGATAAAAGAGGGCATATACTGTGATAGGATACATGCGCATGAACATATTACGAGCGGAAAACACACACCTGATCCACTTGCAGATATCGATCAAACGTTCTCTGGATTACACGTGCCTGCCAGTAACAAAGGAAGCACAGCAAAAGTGATGACTATGCTAACATGCGCACAAGGCGTGACAAAACGCTCATCACTCAATGCCCACCACCGCCGTAAAATACCCTCTCCACTAGCTGGTACAGACGAGATTCACAGGTTCACCCATGCATTTCCCAGCTGAAAGACTAGAAAAGCCAAACGGCATGAAACCAGACTACACTGGGTTTAGGGTGTTCACACAGATGTGCCCTACAGAGAGAAAAAAACAAACAGTGAAGGATGTCTTGCAACACTCCCTCTGGCTGTATGTACCTGTGCCTGCTGCCAATCTGCGGATGCATTGCCTCCCCCTCCTGACCTACTGCGCTCCTCGTATATCTCCGTTGCCAGTGCCATCTGCTCCTCCTCCCGCCCCGCTGCTCCCCATGCAGTCACAGAGAGCAAAGGAAAAACCCATGCATAACCAAAACGAACCGCACACAGCAGCACGGACAGAGCGGAACAGCAGACACAGGTGAGTATGTGACATCTGGGCAGCTGCACCTGAGGGAACCAGACTCAAGCCACAGTAGAACGAGGACGCGGCGGATGGGGGACCAGGGGAGGAGGACACATGTGGACCAGGAAAGGCGCTGACCAGGAAAAGCATCGGCAATGGTCGCGGGGTAAAAGCACGGAAGGAAGAACCTGATGCGAGATGAATGCTACACAATATTGGAGGAATGTGTTGGAGTGTTAAAGAGGCGCACATGTTGGAGACAGGTGCGATCACTTATATTGGAGTGGCTCACTCACTCACCTAGGAGGCGGCCTTTGACAGAGTGCCAGCAATCGAGGTAGGGGTGTGCGATTGGCCGCGCCTGGCGGATTTGAGAGAGCGCTGAGTCCAGATCCATTCCCTGTGGGGGGGAAGGCACAGGAGAAAAAGGCGGGCACGTGACGAGCAGCAGGCGGAGTGAGAATGTGGTGGCAGTGTGAATGGGACAAGAAGTACAAGGGACAAGATCTGGTGCATGCGTGAACACGGCTATCTGAAGCTGCACGCAGGTGCGCACATGCACTGTACACACGTTTAAGGAGACACTCGCAGACGGATACACACAGAACACACAAGAGCCCACGGACGCACATGTGCAAGCGTGCATGTACCTTGACAAAGGTGAGGTAGCCTAGCGCTGTGAGCGTGGCACGGTTGATGCCAGCGGTGCAGTGAATGTAGACATCGCATCCCTCAGCGATGAGGAGATTCACCATGCGCACTGCTACCGGCAGCATGAACGCCTGGTCGCCATGGTCAAAGTCCCGGATCGGTACTCTCTCCAGCCGCAGACCCCTCTGTACTGCCTGCTCGCGGATGGCAGCAATGGGGATCTGGAAGGGCAGGGGAGAGGACAACGGGAGTGGGAAGAAGGGAGAGGGGAGGTTTCGGAGGCAATAAGTACGTAGGGAATGTAGTGCGGGTGTGTGTCAGCGGTGGTTCGGTGCAGTGTGAACTGACAGAGTAGAAACCTTTCGGGTGTTTGGGTACTGGAGGAGAAGGTCCAAGCGTGCAGTGGATGGAAGAACGCAGGGGAGCAAGGGTGCAAGGGTGGGAGGGTGTGAGTGATACCTGCAGGGCGTCGAAGCAGAGGTCGGACTGCAGGTTTACCACGGCCGTTGCCCCACTCTCATCCACTATGCGATCCTGCCGCGCATGCACACGGTGGAAGGCAGGCAGCACGTAGAGGAGATAGGGAGGGAGTGGGAGCGGGAAAGGGAGATTTATGACAGTTGGGCTACAGATGAAGAGAAGAAGCGGCAGCTTCTGGTAGCAAGACGTGGTAGCGGTTTCCAGGCAGGCATTCACGCTTGGCAGTGAAGAAACAAACGTGGTCGACTTGCAGCATTGAAACGACAGGGAAAGAGATCAAAGTGAGGGCAAAGGGAACGTACAACGTCTGAGGGGCTGCGAGGGCAGGAGCCGACAATGATGCCGGGCGCTATGCGACTCCAATTCAGCGTCCACCGCCACTCGCCGCCCACGTTGCCGCCTCCTCCACCCCCTCCCCCGCTCTCGCGCTGCATGCACCCACCACACACGATCCGACACGTCATTCACCCGTTTTGGGGAGTATATTAAGAATGCTTCCCCTTTCTCCCGCTGCATACGGCCAGAACACGCAACCTCCCAGGTCAATGACCGTACTGACTGACCTACCACAACGCTCTCAAGTTCGCTTTCCCGTCAACCAGGAATCAGAGCAACGGCTATTAGTGGGAATGAGCAAATCAAACACTCGCACGAACACCCTATTTATGGAACCACTACGGTCATTCTATTCACCACTGCCTTTCCCATCACCACGTCCCTAACAACTACTCCCTTGACTGCGTTCATTTCACTAAGCCGGCATTCCCCGTTCAACGCACCTGCCGCTTCTCCCAATCCGCCCGCTCCGCCTCTGTGGCCCACTCCCCGCCTGCTCTGACGCACGTGCGCTCACCCCTCTTCCGCTCCCCCCGCTTCTGCGCACCCGCGTTCCACGCGTCCGCCTCCGCTCCCCACGCTGCGGAGAATCCGCTGCCGCGGGGCAGCTGGCGACAGGCTGCTAGTGAGCGAGACCTGTCGTGCGACGACCCTGTGCGACATGCGACGACCTCGGCGACGCGACCACTGTCGCGTCTAGTCGTCGACGACACGCGTACGGAGGACGCGGTAACAGGCGAGAGGGATAGATATGGCTCCCCTGAGATGGGTAGCTGCTTGGCACGATAAGTTTCAGGACGAAAAGACGACGCTGCTTCCGCCGGAGAGATTAGCGACATTCCACTTACTGACATGGCGTACGCACTCAGAGATTCCGTATAATGGAGGAAGCTGGGAAAGTACGCAGACGTTCTAATAACTACCGTTGCGAAAGTATGCAAGCTAGGATGTATCCAGTCCAGTGTATATGGTGGCTGAATCCACGCTGGGCAAACTACGGTCCACTTCTTCTGACATCTAGGGTGTTGGATATAGCCGTTGAAAATATCCCACACGAGCATTGAAGTTGTCGCACATGCATTACCGCGCTATAGACTGAATCGGTGATGCATTACGCTTTCACATATTAGAAGTTGATGTTTGGGTTTCTACTTTCAGAATATTTGTTTGGGAATCAGCCTACTACTGACTGCATCCCAATGAACATATTTCAGAGCAAACCAAATGCCACACACTAACAATGGCGTAGCAACATGATGTCAAATCACAGCTCGCCACACTCGGCAATGACACATGCGAGCTTGGGCCGGTTGTTGGGGCCCGTTTGAACGTTCTCTATTTTCCGCACAACGAGGAGGGAATCTCCTAGCACTCGCTGCAGGAACATGGGAAGGGAAGAGAAAGGGCACAGGCAAGGAACGGAAGGTAATGCAAGAAAGGATGCCAGACCCGAAGAGCAGTTGTTTGAAAGGTCAAAAGAGCTTCAGAGGGCATGAGCAGCTATGGAGAAAAACGTCCAGCTAAACTCAGCTCATAGTAGCAGGTATGCATTTCACGTGATGCACACATGAGTGTACTCAGCATAGCAAGCACAGGCACAGGCACAGGCACAGGCACAGGCACAGGCACAGGCACAGGCACAGGCACAGGCACAGGCACAGGCACAGGCACAGGCACAGGCACAGGCACAGGCACACGACTGTGTAGTCCAACAGAAAGTGAGCTTACCCCAAAGACAACGTGCTTGTTATCAAGCCAGTCACACTTGGCGCATGTCAGGAAGAACTGCCAACACAGACCAACACACGAAAAAAGCAAAAACCAGCACATCAACACAGAAGCACACCACGCGAAGGAACACAAACGATGAATCATGGACCAGGGATCATCCCACCCACCTCCTCACTCTGCTACACGCTCTCTCATGCAAAACATTTCTCTCCAGTCCTCTACATGCCTGTCTCTGCCACATGCTCTTCTACCTACCATGCCTCCAACGGCATCCTCGAGCCAGGGGTGTTTTGAGTTGGCTCAAACCACGCATGCCTACCCATGTTAGAGGGTCTTGTTCCATGCGTCCAACCGACCGCATCCTAAACCCCTTCCAAATATTGCTACGTCCTCATGCGTTTCATGCTCTCCTTCTCTGCCTTGCAATCTCTGTTGCCACCCACTTAGCGCCCCAGCTTAGCGCCCCCACATAGAACCCACTTAGCGCCCCCACCCACTTAGCGCCCCCACTTAGCGCCCGCCCCCACTTGGCGGCCCCACTTATCGCCCCACTTAGCACCCCCACTTAGCGGCCCCACTTAGCACCCCCACATTAGCGACCCCACTTAGCGGCCCCACCCACTTAGCGCCACCACTTAGGGCCCCCGCTAAGCGCCAACACCCACTTAAGGCCCCCACTTAGAGCCCCCACATAGCGCCCCCACGCTGCACCGCACGCTCATACGCTACACCGCCCGCTCATTCGCTGCACCGCCCGCTCATTCGCTGCACCGCCTGCTCATTCGCTGCACCGCCCGCTCACTCGTTGCACCGCCCGCTCATTCGCTGCACCGCCCGCTCATTCGCTGCACCGCCCGCTCATTCGCTGCACCGCCCGCTCATTCGCTGCACCGCCCGCTCATTCGCTGCACTGCCCGCTCATTCGCTGCACCGCCCGCTCATTCGCTGCACCTCATTCTCATACGCTGCACCGCCTGCCCCCACTTAGCGCCCTCACTTAGCGCACCCACTTAGCGCCCCCACCCACTCAGCGCCGCCACCCACTTAGCGCCCCCACCCACTTAGCGCCCCCACTTATCACCCCATTTAGCGCCCCACTTAGCGCCCCCACTTAGAGCCCCCCTTCACTCATACTACTCGCCAATACTCCACTGCTCCTACTCGCCACATCCTACTGCTCCTTCGTGCATAAAAAGGGAGATGCAGAGCGAGAAACTGCAACAGGAAATGAGCAAGGCACAGCCTGAAAGAGAGTGGGGGAGTGGGAGCACCTGACAGCCATTCGTGTTCGGCCCACTGTTTGCCTGCAGAGGTGGAGAGAGACAGAGAGGCGGATAAGAGGAGTGGGGTGAGAGGCAAGATCGCATGGTGGTCACAGAGGCAAGGCATGCACGGCCATGCGAGTCAGTGAGTTAGATAAAGGGAAAGAGCAAGAGCAAGGAAAAGAGCAGGAGCAGGAGCAAGAGGTGGGGAGCAGGAGCAAGAGGTGGAGAGGAGGGCATACGGCGGAGAGCAGTCCTGGGCCGGTGTGCTTGGCAATGAAGGGCTCGTCGTCAAACTTGGAGCCGTATATGCTGATGCACCCCGTGCCATCCCCCTGATGCACGGGGCGGAAAGGGGGCAGGGGCACAGGGGAGAAGCAGCAGGGTGCAGGAGGACAGGAGTGGGTGAATGACGGCTGAGGAACGGAGCGCAGGGAGATGGAGGAAGAAGCAGTGGGCGGGATAGGGAAGAGAAGCAGGCAGGGTTGGGGAAGTGGTGGCGCAGGCAAGGGTGCAGGGAGAAGGTGGTGCGAAGAGTGGTGTGGTGTGGTGGGGCAGGCACGGATGCAGTGAGGTGAGGTGCGGTGTGATGAGGTGTGATGAGGTGTGATGAGGTGTGATGAGGTGTGATGAGGTGAGGTGAGTTGTGGTGAGCGCACCTTGAGGAAGTCCCCCCCTTGGATCATGAAGTCCTTGATGACTCTGTGGAACACTGACCCCTTGTAGCCCTGCGGTATATTGTTCTTCCTGCACACCCTCACACACACGCACACGCACATTCATGCACATGCACCAACACATATGCAGATACTCACACACTGTGGGGCAATTGCTGCATGAGAGCATTGGACAACAGCGCATGTGCACGGCAGCAGGCAATAGCACATGCGCAACTGCCTGTTGTCAAACCATCAGCCCGGACTTAAAATGGACGGTTCAGTATCGCACCTCATCTCGCCCGTGCACAGCTGCCTGTTGTCACCGCACCACACCGCGCACCACCACCGCACGCCGCACAATCCACCACATACAGTTGCACGCACGCGAGAGAAAAGGCCACGCCAAGAGCATGCGAAGGGGGTTTCACGGGGCGCAGGAACAGAAAGGTGTATACGGGGAGAGGTTGTGGAGACGCGGCAAGAGGAGAGGTGGTGCGATGGTGGGGAGCGTGTCTGGTGAATACGAAATGGCACGGCACGGCACGGCATGGCATGGCATGGCATGGCACGGCACGGGATGGCATGGCACGGCATGTCACGGCATGGCACATGGCGAAGCAGCACCGGAAGTTCTCAGCGGTGCGGGGCGCGATGTCAGCGAATAGCTCCATCTTGACGCGGCCCGCTGCGATGCCCCCGATCGTGACGTCGAAGAACACCACGGGGTTGCGCGGGTTCTGCGCGCGCGTGTGCCAATCCACCACCGCCGCGGCCTCCGCACCCGCCATTGCGCTGACTTCTCTGCGCGCAGATCCCCCCTCCCCCTCCTGTGCGCCGCTTCCCGCTACGTTCCACTTATGGCTGAGCTAGATGCGCTGGTTGCGCTAGTTGCGCTAGTCTCCAATACGATGATTGATCTGCGCTTCTGGTGGTAATCTCGTCAACGACGGGAAACTAGCGAGACAGCGGTGGTTTCTGGGAGCCGGACTAAGCACGACGTGAGGTGAATAGAACGGACGTGAACGGAGGACGTAGTGGGCCCGGCTGATCGATACAGGCAGGCTTGCTTCCACGGGGAGGGGGGAAATAGAACTACCGGACGATGACACAAGCCGGGTAAAGAACCGTTCGTACCGTCGCGTCGTGTTTAGGACACCGAGCAGGCGCCGCGGTTGCTGCTGTGGTTCTGTAATCTGGAACTACGGTAGATATTCGCGTTTGTGTAATGCCGATCAGATGGAACCCGGTTTCATTTGTTGCAATATTGCCATAATGTTACGAGTGCAATTGAGTGAGCGAACGAGAATTGCACTATCGAAGCAAAAGTACAAATGAGCGAAGGCATGAGCGAAGAATATATAGCGAAACTACAGTGGTAACGGTAATGTGTGAAAATTGGGGTGCGCGACGGGCCTAGCGCCGAGGTTGGGAGATGTCGAGGCGGAGGTCCGGGGCGCGGGTTACCAACCGAACCGTGAGGTTGGGTCGCGTCGTGAAAGGTGGCGGGAATGGTGTCGAAGCGAGTGTCGCGAGTGGTAACGGATTACTGTTGGGTGCTGTGGGTGGGAACAGTAGTGTACGCGCTGAGCAGGGACGCGAAGTAAGGAAAAGGAATTTTCCTTACACTACCCCCCCCCCTAAGGAGGCCCTCCTTACGAAAGCGCGTGTACATCCCGGAAATTTCGGCTGCGCAGGTACTCTGTGAGGACGGGGTGGTTTTCGATTCTGTCCAGGGGAACCCAGTTGTCTTCGGTGGGCGTGCGGTCTTTCCAGCGGATCAGGAATTCGATTCTGCGGGCTCCCCGTGGGTCACGTACTCGATGGCTCAGTATTTTCTCAGGCGTGATGATTGGCTCAGTCGGCGGTCGTGTCATGCTGGCGGGGCGGTTTCGAGGTAGTTGGCTGGTGGATGGCACGTATGGGTGAAGCAGGCTGACGTGAAACGACGGGCTGACGTACCAGTCAGCAGGGAGGAGGAGATGGGCGGTGACGGGTGTGATCATGTGGCTGATGCGAAATGGCCCGCAATATCGGGGGCGGAGTTTTGGGGTGATGGGCAGGCGGAGGTTTTGAGTGTCGAGTAAAACTAGGTCGTCTGGCTGGTAAGTGACAGGCCGGCGGTGGCGGTCGGCGTTGCGTTTAGCGATGATGTTTGATTTTTTTATTGCTTCTGCTGCTCGGGTCCGTGCTGCTTGCAGTATTTCTGCGAACTGTTGCGCGCGTGGGACTGGGTTGTCGGGATTCGGGGTCATGGGTACAGTGGGGTCTTGTCCGTAGTTCAGGTAAAACAGTGACTGTTGGGTCGTGGCGGATGGCGAGTTGTTGTACGCGAATTCGATGAGTGGCAGTTGCTGTTCCCACGTGGTCGGGTCGTCGCACGTGGCCCGGATGAGCTGTTCCATGGTCTGATTTGTCCGTTCTGTCTGTCCGTCGGTTTCGGGGTGGTATGATGAACTGAACTGCAGTCGTGTGCCGAACTGCTGCCACAGGTTCCGCCAGAAGTTGCTGGTGAATTTCGTGTCGCGATCGCTGATGATCGCTGCTGGTATCCCGTGTAAACGAACGATGGTGGCGATGAAGAGGCGAGCTGTTTCTTCGGCTGTGATCGATTTCTTACATGCTGCGAAGTGTGCCATTTTCGTCAGCCGATCGACGACGACCAAGATCGCGTCGTTCCCACTTGCTCCAGCCGGTAACCCCGTGACGAAGTCCATCGTCACCTGCTGCCAAGCACGCTCTGGGGGTGGTATCGGCTGCAACTGTCCTGCCGGTCGTTGTCGTGACGACTTCATGAGCTGGCAGGTGGGACACGATGCCACGTGTCGTTGCACGTCGGTCAGCATCTCGGGCCAATAGTTATACCGCTGCAGCTGCTGCCGTGTTTTCTCTACCCCGAAATGTCCCGAGGTAATTCCGTCGTGTGCCTCCTGTAACAGTAATTCCCGTAGCAGTGTGTACCCCGGTACCCAGATGCGGTCGGTCCCGGCTTTTACGTAATAGACTCCCTTTGCTGCTGCGAACTGCTCCGAATTTCCTCCTGTGAAGAATGGGTCCGTTTGGTACCCGTGGGTAAATAGTCCTGTCAGTAGCGGGCTGGTCTGGGCGAGTAGTATCGCATGGATTTGGGCAGTGGGGCGGGTCAGTGCGTCAGCGATGTTGGATGCTCCTTTTTTGTAGGTGACTGTGTAGTGGAAGTTGGACTCGAGAAAATCAAGCCAGCGGATCTGTCGGGGGTTGAGGTGGGGCTGTGCGCGGAGGTACTGTAGTGATCTGTGGTCTGTCCGTACTGTCACGTCTGCGCCGGTCAAGTAACAGCGCCAAACCTTGAACGCATGCACGATCGCGAGCATTTCGCGGCCGTGTATCGGGTAATTCTTTTCGGGCGGATGCAGCTTTCGTGACTCGTAGGCGATGGGCTGTAGGCCGTTGCCGAAATCCTGTAGCAGTACGGCTCCAATGGCGATGTCGCTTGCGTCGGTTACTACTTCGAAAGGGCGGTGTGGGTCAGCGATGCGCAGTACGGGCGGTGAACAGAGAACAGTTTTTAGGGCAGAGAAGGCAGCATGCTCTTTCTCCCCCCCACGTAAAAGTGACCCCCTTCCGCAGCAGATCCGTCAGTGGGGCTGTTAATTGTGCCATGTCGGGGACGAACCGACGCACGTAATTAACGAACCCTAAAAAACTCTGCAGCTCCGTGATGTTTGTCGGGGGGTGCCACGCTTTTACCGTGTCCAGCTTCTTCGGGTCGATTTCAACCCCAGCCTCCGAAATTACGTGCCCCAAAAATTCTAACCTATCCTGGAAGAACTCGCACTTGAAACCCTTGGTCAGTAGGCGGTGCTCGTCTAAAACCTTAAAAACTGCTTCCAGATCGGCTAAGTGCTGCTGCTTGTCGCGACTGTAAACGAGGATGTCGTCGAGGTAAACTATCACGCATTTATCTAAAAGCGGTCTAAACGCCTCGTTCATGGTCATCTGAAATGTTGCCGGTGCGTTGGTCAAACCGAATGGCATCACTGTGTACTCGAACGACCCGTACCTAGTCCTAAATGCTGTCTTGGCGCAGTCTGATGGTTCGACCCTAATCTGATGGTAACCTCCCCGTAAATCTATTTTCGAAAAAACCCGTGCTGTTCGCAGTTGGTCTATCAGTTCGTCGGCACGGGGAATGGGGTATCGCGACTTGACTGTTACCCGGTTCAGTGCTCTGTAATCGATGCACATGCGAAACCCTCCATCTTTTTTCGGTGTGAACAGTATCGGTGCGGCGAACGGTGACGAGCTCGGTCGGATGAATTTTTTCTCTAATAGGTAATCTAACTGCTTCCTCAGTTCGTCGAGCTCGGGTTGTGTCAGTCTGAACTGTCGCTGTACGATTGGCTGTGCCCCCGGTTCTAACTCTATGCGATGGTCGTGTGCTCGCTGAGGTGGCAGTCCCTCCGGTAAATCATCCGGAAAAATCCCCGGGTACCGTTTCAACAGTTCCTGCAGTTCGGGCGGTACCGCTGCCAGCAGTTTCTGAAAGTCACTCGGCTGCTCTGCTTCTCCTATCAATGCTATATCCACTGCGTACACGTCAGCTCCAGCGGCGACAGCCCGTTTCATCGTGATGGCGTTGACGTGGACCGTTGAAGACTCGGGCGACGGCCAGCGAGGTAGCACGACCCAGTTACCGCTACTTCGCACAGTGCAGCTACCCGTCGTCCAGTCAATTCGCGGGTTATACCGTCGCAGCCAATCACGTCCCAGTAAAATGTCGTGCCCATCCAATGTCGTCGCGAGCATTTCCCGTGTAAACCCAAAGTTCCCCCCGCAGCGGACCTTTACTCTCTCCACCTTCTCCCGTATGGCCAGCGGCGTTCCGTCCACTAAGCGTGCATCTATTTCCGGTAAACACCGACTAAGTGTCAGTTGCAGCTTCCGTGCGGTTGCGGTATTAACTAAGCTGTGGCTTGCTCCTTCGTCTATAAAGATCTTCACTGCTGCTCCCTGTATTTTCCCGTGAATCAGTACTGGGCAATCCGTCGCTGTACCCTCCTTATTCATCCGAGCCCGATCGATAGCGTGAATCGGTACTGTGACTCGGTGAGGGTCGGTGCGGTTGGGCGAGCAGGCAGTCTCGTCAGTAGTTGGCCCAACTTCTACTGACTGCTGGCGTTTCCCTGCCTCTGAGACTCCCTCCCCTGCTCTGCTCCGCGGCGCCTCAGCTCCTCTGGGCATTCGCTCTTGCGATGGCCCCGCCTGTTGCAAACAAAGCAGCGCCCCTTAAACGGCGCAGCAGCTGCATTCGTCGCAACGGCGTGTACAGTGGCGTGCTCGGTCGGTCCCCGAGGACGATGTCCGTAGTAGGACCCCGGTCTCGGTCGGTGTAGAATGTCGATTTTCTCGGCGAGCGCGAGAATCTCGTTGAAGTTCGAGAGTCCGCGCAGCATGATCTCGTGCGAGATATCCGGCTTCAGCCCTCCAACGTAACGGTCCACCCGCTCCGCTTCGTGCATGTAGCCGACCTGCTCGCAAAGTGCGAGAAAACCGCTCGTGTAATCTTGAACCGACCCGAGCTGCCGCCAAGTGCGCAATCTCTGACGCGACGAAATAGAAGCCGCGATCGGCTCGAAGCGCGTCCGAAGCCCTGCGCACCACGCATCCCACGTGCTGTATTGGGCGGTCTCGCAGAATGAACTCCAGGTGACAGCTGGACACGTGGGCCCTTCCTCTTGCGACGGTGGCTCGTAGGCGCGTGGCGACGTCACGATGACTCGCCACCAGTCCATGGCGGGGCCCCTTAGCA